CCAGGCTCCATCCGAAGGCTGAATAATTATATCTGCAGCCCTTTGATTTGTTTTGAGATGTCATATTTGCTAAGTACTGACTGTCTCATGAATTCCTTATCTCGCCCCCCCCCCAAAAAAATTTACTGGGGCCCAGAAAAGTGAAGTAGGGCATGCACATAGTAGAGCTTGTTGGTGACAGAACGAGCTTACAGGCCCAGGGAAGGGGGCTGAGGAAGTGGCACAGTGCTGGGGAAAAGCCACTGTACTGTTCATTCTTATTCCGCCTTATAGAGTGTTCCTATGTGGGCCTCTGACTGCTGGTTCAGTGTTCCAGGAAGGCTGATAAAAGCTCATCCAATTCCAGAACTACCTGGCTATCTTTGATACCTCAGGGTCCTGGGTCCCCCGGAGCCTTTAGCCTTTTGAGTATCTGAATCTTCCACAAGCAAATGTCTCCCACACAGGGTACCACATGTTCAATGGCCATAGAGGTTACCGAATAGCATATGCACTCTAGGGCTGGGAATGTAGCTCACCTAGTAGAACGCTTGCCTAGTGTACATAAAGCTCTGGGTTTGACCCTTAGTATCACATAAACCAGGCCTGGTGGTGAATGCCTGAAATCCCAGCATTCAGAAGGTAGAGGCAGCCTCAACCATATAGGGAGTTTGATGCTAGCCTGGGCTCTAGATGAGACACTGTCCCAAAAAGAAAGGAAATAAGGAAGAAAGAAGAGGAAGAAAGAAAGAAAGAAAGAAAGAAAGAAAGAAAGAAAGAAAGAAAGAAAGAAAGAAAGAAAGAAAGAAAGAAAGAAAGAAAGAAAGAAAGAAAGAAAGAAAGAAAGAAAGAAAGAAAGAAAGAAAGAAAGAAAGAAAGAAAGAAAGAAAGAAAGAAAGAAAGAAAGAAAGAAAGAAAGAAAGAAAGAAAGAAAGAAAGAAAGAAAGAAAGAAAGAAAGAAAGAGGAAGAAAGAGACTATAAATGTGCTTAGTCATTTGCACATGGCTCTCCCTCAGGATTCCAAGTCTAACTGCTTTCTGGGGGAACCAGGCTTGTAAACCATGTTCACTGTAAAAGACGATTTTTATTTCCAGAACTCAGGAATCACTTTGCAGAGAAAGATACCGAGGTAGTATTTGGTTCAAGTTTCAGAGAAAAATGGGATACAGTAGGAACAATCAGAGCCCCTGAGTCGCCTTGTTTGTCGGATCAGGGCAGTCCCTCAGTCACAGGAAGCAGCCCCGTTGTGGTGGTACCTGCCTGTAATGTCACACTGCTGAGGTAGGAGGAGCCCAGACTGGACAGACTGGAACAGCCAGGGCTAGGTGGTGAGAAACAGACGTGGGAGGATGGGGGCGCAGAGTATCCTAGCACTCAGAAAGCTGAGGCAGGAGAATCAGCTTATGTTCAAGACCAGGCTAATATACATATAGAGTTCAAGGCCAGACAGGCAAACGTAGCAAGACCTGTCTCAAGAATTTAGAATAGAAACGAGGATACAGGAGAGAAGTGGGGAGGAGGGATGGAGAGGCCTCTTTCTAGTGGGACTGGGTAGAGGCATGGAGACTAAGGAGCCAGGAAATGTTCGGGGACAAGCTCAGTGGGTCTCCCCACAGAATAAGGACAATTCCAGGACCAAGCAGCCCCTGAACTCATCTGCCACCCATTCCCTGTTTCTCAAGCTTTTTAGAAGCAGAACATGGCCAGGCCAATGTTTGCAAGTCTGCAGTGGAAGAAACCAGCTTTGTACGGAAAGATGAGAGAAGCCGCATCTTGCTTACCCTACTGTGCTCTGAGCCAAACATTTTATGCTTCTGAGGGAAGGGTGCAAAGGGGGATCCTTCCGCAACACCCACTGCACACTCAGTGCAATCTTTTGTCTTTTCAATGTCGAATTTTTATTATTTGTTTGTCCGTTTATTCGTTTATCTTTGCCCCTGACAATCTTGTAAAGGGAATCTGAGGACTCCCGTTTTTACATATAAGACTCAGAAGTCAAAGCAATTCGAAGGTGAAGCCAGCCCCTCTGATCAGTGGGGTCTGATCCTGGTAGTGGGGGGGCCTTGATGTGGGGAGGGGCGAGGAGAAGGTGTGGGCTTGGCAGGGAACATCCTCCTGCCGGCCTTTATTGTTCACAGAACCGAAAAAGTGATGAGAGCTTTCCTTCCTGTCTTTAAGAAAACAACAGAATCAAAACAAACAGAGAAGGGGAACTCCCCTCCCCACAGTCTTTGCCAGAAATAAAAGGAAGGACTCCTGCTGACGGCGGCAACCTGTGCTACCTCACGCTGGGACAGAGGCTACTAATCCAGCACCCACACTCAACCCCAGGGCTGCAATGTCCCCTGCATTCTGAGTCCTGTCTTAGCTTATGTCCAAGAGAAGACACAGACACACAGAAGGCCGCTTTGTAAGTACAGGGGCCAGCAGGAAACAGAAATATACAAATCCAAGATCTGAAACCAACCGCTTTGCAAATAATCCCCAGTTATCACTCAGGGTGGCCAAGCCCCACCTCACTTCTCACGCCTGAACTACCAACACTTAATGAAGTCAAAAAGAGGATCACTTCCCAGTTTACCTGTCCTGGACTTGCCTATATGTTGCCTTGGTGATCCTGCCAACAAAGTCTAGAATAACCACGGAGGCGAGGGGAGGGGTGTCCTGTTAATATAAGATACCCCCCCCCCCACACACACACACACTACCTTACCCAGATCTCTTCTACTTGCATCTTTTAGTCCCAGATAGCTTGTGATAATTAGTTGTCCAAGGCAACAGGCAGCCAAAACGATATCTGCCCTTCTGGACACAGACTTAAGGCCTTAAAGGCTAGCAGTGTCACCACTACTAAACCCACAGTGACAGCGTTTTCACCCTACAGGGCCACTGGGTCAGCCTGTACTTTATGGCCATGTGCACACAGCAGCGAAAGCTTTAGTTCAATTAATGAATTTGCCTGTAGTCTGGGTTTACAGTGAGTCAGTAGCTGGGAGAACAGTTCTTCTCCACTGAGGTTAATTAGTCTCAGAAAACACTAAGTGAATCCTGAATTATGATGCACTTGGGCTTGCACCTGTTCCTCTGGGAAATGTCAAGCATCACCCAGGGCCTGAGAGAACTGGTGGCATGGAGAGAGAAGTCTAAAGGGGGAACTCCTAGGCGGCTGGATCAGGGAGAGCTGCCTATGTGATGTTGCTATTGTTGGACAATTGCTCTTCCCTCTGACACCCCAGGCAGGGACTGGCTTGTTCTTACCCCAGTCCTGCACTTAGTGTCACTGGATTGATGTCAGCTGAATGAATAATGGTCACTGCCTGAGCTTTACTGGCAGCAGGTGGTGAGGTCAAGGGGGTTGCTCTCCAAAGACCAGGCCAGGAAAGAACTAGGCTGTATCTTCCAAGACCCCACCCCCTACCCTTGACACTTCCTTGGCATCCCCATTGCAGGAATCCATTGTCATCAGTTCTCATTCTCCTTCACGACCTCTGAACCAAAGCACTTGCCAGACCGCCTCCAAAGTTTTTGCAGGATTCCCATTGCTCAGTGGATAAAATTTTGGCTCCTTGGCCCAGGGGATTAAGAGTAGAACTGTTCCTTTCTTGGATCTCACCCCCTGTCCTGCATCTGGAATGAGCACAGTGGTTGGTGGGTAGATGCCTTGGGAGAGATACCTAGTGCATCACTACATTCCCAAAGGCCCAGTTCCAATACAGTCACTGTAGGCATTCAACTAAAAAGTTTCTACACTCCCATAAGCCTCTCCGAAAATGCAGCAATCCAAATCAGACCAAATCAAACCGAATTAGAAAAAGCCCATGTTTAATGGATACAACACTCCCAGGTGGCCTTTCAGCCCCCAAGAGAGATGGGAAAGGGAGACTGGAAAAACCACCGAGTCTGTTCTCTGAGGAGCAGTTTAAATACCCTATGGGAGTGGTCTTGGGTATCTCTGGGGGCGGGGCCATTATTTGGTGGGCTTTCTGAGATGCAGCAGGGTTTGGAGGGAGATGGGAGAGGGGAGCTTTGGTGCAACTTCCACCATAACATCCTAGACTCTTTGGGAATATGGATGCCAGGGGCTGGGGTGAAGCTTGTCTCTTCTCTCTTTTCTGATTATTGTGACTCTGGCACCTTGCATGTACCCGGCAAACCATCCTGAAAGCTGTATATCACCTATGTAGCCCTGGCCTGGAACTTATAGACCAAGCTGGCCTCTAGCTCACAGAGATCCATCAGTCTCTGCCTCTTGACTGCTGGGATTAAAGGTGTGCACCACCCACCGAGCCTGGTGTTACTTCTTCTTTTGAGACAGTCTCTCACTAAATTTCCCAGGTTGGCTTTGAATCCCCCTGCCTCAACCTCCCAGATAGCCCAGGCCTGGCTAAGACGTCTAGAAAACCATGTGAGCCTCAGGTCAGGCCAGGCCCCTCAGCATCCTCCCTGCACACAGGGCAGATAAGGCTTGTTGGTGCTCTATTGTAGAGCAGTTATCTGTTCACACAGCTGGCTCTCCAGACCCTGGGCCTCCCCAACCGCCCCATCTCTGGATGGGCTCAGCAGCACCCCAGTAAGCTTGTTATGAATGCGTTTGTTCTGTAACGTCCAGCCAATTCCTTCTGTCCTTTCTGTCACTAAAAGAAGACTTTCTGGGTAACTGGGAAGAAATAGTCTATAGGTGGAAGGGGCAGTAGAGGATTGGGGTGGTTTGTGATACCCACTAGGGTACAATAGGATTCACTAGGAGTACCAACATTGACTCATTAGTAAATACTATGCTAGGTAATTGTCCAGTATCCTCATGTGGCTCTGATGGAGACCATGGAGACTACATGGAAACGCATGGTGCCTTGGCAGTGGGAATGTTTTTAAGAAGTCTGTGCAGGGGTGTATTTCAGAGGTAGGGCACTTGCCTGCCATGCATGAGATCCTAGGTTCCATCGCCAGCAACAAGCAAACAAAGAAGTAATAAGTAGAGAAATAAACACACAAATGAATATAAAAAGGAAGTCTTCCAAACCTCCCGTGATGTGTCTTCCCTCATCCATGTGATCTCCAGTAGTCACCCGCTGCCCTCCTCAAGTCCTCATCTCCACTAAAGGGGCTTCAGGCCCCACCCTAAGCAGAGCCTGGGACTGGGGCCCAGAATGAATCCTGGCTAGCCATCCACCTCCAACAGGGGTGTTGGCGCAGGCCACTGGGTTTCAGGTTTCAGTGCTCAGAGTGTTTTCCTGTCTAGGGCACTTTCTATTTTTCAATACTTTTCCTATCACAGCCAAATAACAGAAAAAGGAAAGGGCTGGGTTGGGGGGTTGGGGGGTTGGGGGGCTGGGGGGAGGGTGAGGGCAGGACAGATTGGGAGAAGGGAAGAATCAGCTCCTGAAAAGCTGGAGGCTGGGGGGCCTAGAGGAGGCTGGGTGCAGTCCTAGACTCCCAACAGCTGGGCCAGGTCCAGAGCAGCTGAGTTATCTCTGCCTGCACCCACTTCATGAGGGACAGTCACTTGTTCCCTCAAGGGACCAAGCCCTGCACATGCGTGAGAAGAGAGATACATAGGCAAGGTGGTTTCCTCGGACAGCCACTTTCTAACTAAATCAAAGATGGGGGCCGGGGTTGGTGACTGAGCAAACCCCAGGCTCCCAGTCCATAAAATGTTGGAAGAATGATCCTGCATCTTAGAGGGAATCAGTTGTGGGGAGACAAGCCAGGTCGTCACGACAATCAGTGAATCAATAACTTCGTCTTTATGAAAGGCTGTGTCAGCCATGGAATTCTTTTACATGTGTGGCGTGCATGCAAGCATGTGTGTATTTCTCAGATCAAGCCTTGTGCCCTGCACCCTGGGCTACATCCTTGACCCTAACGATGTGTTACCTTTTTTTTTTTTTTTTTTTTTTTCCTTTGGAGACAAGGTCTCATGCAGCCCATGTAGTTCACAATGGTCTTTACTTCCTAATCCTCAGAATACCACCTCCTAGTGTGCTGGGGTTACAGATAACATCACTACCCCCAGTCTTAATGACACTCATTTTTTTTTAAAGGTGTGAGGGGAACTAGTGTTAAATAAAACACCCAGAACCCCAGGCCAGGGATGTTCAGCTGTGGGGGTTGAATGAGGGGGCTCCTCCAGGTCCCAGCAGGCCCAGCTCCTTCCCCAGCACCCCTGCGTGAGAGCTCTGATGGCTCCCAGCAGGATCTGCCCAGAGCCCCTAAACCCCTTTTCTCATGGAAGCTGTGCTGGGCAGTCCTCTAGCGAACTAGGCGCCAGGGTCCAGCGGGCAACCTGCCCACCTGGGACATCTCTGAAGAGGCTTTGGGTTTCCATCCAGAGCTTTTGAAATGTGGGGGGATGGGGGATGATGTGGGAGGGATGATGGGTGGGGGGCTGGGCTGCAGCCCCTCAGTGGTGAGGCCAGACCTGGCTGTTCTCATCTGAATTGGTAATCCAAATTGCTAATCTAGGGGAGCTGGATTAGCTCAACAAAGAGGGGTGCACTGGCCTCCTGTGCCCAAGGTCCCAATCCTTGGGACACCTAAAAAATGGAAGGGGAAAAAAACTAGTGGACTCAACCAAAATAGCTGATTTCTTGGGCATGAGTTGCAGGTTTGAATCGGGCTTGATACTCTGGCCTAGAAATTTTTGGCATGTTAGCGCCTATCTCTAACCATCCATTTCCTTGTCAGTGTCAAGAGAAGAATCCTTACCTTGAGTGTTGGGACAAAACAAGGCGCCATAGTCACAGCTGAGTGGCTAGTCCATGTGGAAACAAGGCTTCTTTAGCTTTGGAAGGCTCGCTGCCCACCCCACCCCCAGCTTTTCTCAACCTCAGCCAGCTTACCCTCAGGCCTTGTACAGGTCATGTCTTGGTGTTTGTGTCCCCTCACTTTAGCCTGACTTCATTTACAGTGGCCCAGTGGTCCTTTCCACCTGCCTTGTCATTTTGACTGAGCCTCAGGCCTGAGAGGCCTGGCTTCTCAGCCACTTCATGGTGCCCGTACTACAGAAATTAATGATGCTTGCTTTGCTATTTATTTATGTCTATTTTATTTTACGGGTGATTTGCCAGAACATATGTCTGTGCGCTATGTGCATGTCTGGTATCTTCAGAAGCTGAAGAAGACACCAGACTCCCTGAAACTAGAATTACAGACAATTGTGAGCCACCATGTAGGCGTTGGGAATCAAACCGAGGTCCTCTATAAAAACAGTCAGTGCTCTTAATAGTTGAGCCGTCCCTTCAGTCCCAAGACCTGTTTTTAAACTTTATTTTTGAGATAAGGTCTTTCTCTGTAGGTCTGACTGTTCTAAAACGTGCTATGTAGACCAGGCTGGCTTTTAAATTCAAAGAGATCTGCTTGTCTCTGCCTTCCAATGCTGGGATTAAAGGTATATACTGCCATAACCACTGTGTATATGTATGGGGGAAGGATGACTATGTATGTGAGTGGTAGTGGGGTGTGTGTGTGTATGTATGTGAGTGGTATGTGTGAGTAGTGTGTGTATGAGTAGTATGTGTATAAGTATGTGAGTGGTGTGTGAGTGTGTGTATGAGTATGTGTGTGTGTGAGTGGTGTGTATGAGTATGTGTGTGTGTGAGTGGTGTGTCAGTGTGTGTGTGTGCCTGAGGAGGTCAGAGAGATTTGACCCTCTGTTGCTGAAGTAACATATGGTCTTAAGCTGTCCAGTGTGAGACCTAGGGCTAGGTGCTCTTAACTACTGAGCCATCTCACCAGGTCTGACAATGGCCAGTTTAGGGCCCAAGAGATTAGGATGGTGTCTGGACCTCTCCATTGACTAGCAGTGTGATCCCACACAAGTCCTGAATCATCTCACACCTCCCTGGAGCTGTGCTAAATGATGCAAGGAAAAGCAGCAGTTCCAGGCCAGGAGCTGTGAAGGTTCATTTGGTAAGTCCCACCTCCACTCACAAGAGATAAAAGCTCAAACTGGCCTTAGGAAAAGAGGAATTCCTTCAAAGCCTTCAGATAGCTCCCTCCAGCCAATGAAGAACTTACCACCAGCCTACAAGCCACGAGGGGAATAAGGTGCCCTGGGCAATGCACCCACATCACAGCTGTCTGTGACAGCTCTATGTGACCTGAGAGGAGGGTAGCTTTGAAGGAAATTTCCTGAAACTCCCTCCTAACTTGCCACTGACTCAGGCTAGTTCTATAAACCTTCCAAGGCTTCATGCAGTTTCTTTTCTATCAAGTGGAGAGGCCTTTACTCAACAATGTCCTTCAGGCTTCCCTGGGGACAAAATAAGGGAGCAGATGTGCCCACCAAGGATGAAGGGTTTTGATGTTAAGCCAAATGACCAAATGGAAACTTGCCATTTGTTGTCCTCTTAGGAACTCCAGTTTACTGAGAGGGGTTCTTGTTTTAAAGTCTACACATGCTGCAGTAACTTGAAAAGCCAAGAGACTGTGGCCCACAGTCTAAGTCAGCTATTATCATATCTACATTTGCTTTTGCTTTGGGGCAATGAAGGAACCCTGAGGAAGGAATGACAGGAACACAGGCACTTCCCAGCCCTTCCCTGGAGACTGTCAGAGTTCCTGTTCCCAAGGAAGGGATGAATCTTGATTTTCTCAGAACTTCCAGAAAACAACTACCTAAGGGCTCTACCAGAAGACTCTAGAGCAGGCTCAACTGGTGGGGATATGTGGGAACAGGGAGAGCAATAGAAACTCTGGCCACTTCTGGAAATCCCACTTCCCCTAACTATAGAGATCCCATTGGAAAGAGCAGCCATGCAGATCTCCAAGGCACGAACCTTCTGGAAGGGGGTAGTGTGTGTGCATGCTTTATCTAAAGAGGCAGAGAAGGTCTGGACTGCCCCAGATCAAAACAGACTCCCTAGTCTCTGATTCCCAAACAAGCACTGTAGGAGGGTGTATCATGAGTTGGAGACTACTGGCCTTGGGGCCCAGGGAAAGTAGTGAGAGGCCCTGGCCAGCTTGCTCTCTCTCTCTCTCTCTCTCTCTCTCTCTCTCTCTCTCTCTGCATAACAGCTTGACTGCCTAACAAAAGGACAGTCCTTAAAAGGTCCATAGAGCTGTTAGAAGCTTCCGGCAATGACTTAATAGGGGGCGATTTAAAGTGTCCTCAGGAAGGCTGGCCCTTCAAAGGCTAGGCAGGTCTGGCTTTCCTGTCCTCAGTGCCCACCGCTCCCCCAGAGCTGGGGCTGCCCTAGCCTGTCCCTCCCCCGGCTCCCTGCAGACCTGGCAAGTCAGTGGACAGACCCTTTGGCTAGTCTGTCTGAGGAGATTCCGTCTTGGCCCCTGGCCCAACAGCACCATTTGTTCACACAGTTTGGCTGGGTCTGGAGCCAAAGGGAAAGAGAGGAGGCTAAGCTAGACACACACAGGAGTTGGGGCCACTCAAAACACCTTGGCTGTCTTCCCTCTTACCAACCCTTTTCCCAGCTTCCCTCCTCCCTCCCCCACTGTCTGGAACTTCATGGCCACTGCTGGGGTGGGGGGGTCCCATCTCTAAGGAAATGTCAGCCCTTAGTCTTCCAGATGTGACATCGATGGAACACACCAACTGGATGGTACTGATGACTCAGAAGTGACCAGACATGGACCAGACCTGTGGAGAGGGAGATAACAGAGACAAGAAAAGGCAAAAGCCTTAGGGTGTGAGGCTTGAAATGGGGCTGGACAGTGGAGGGGCAGGGCTTCTGGAAGCACAAAGGCCTGGTATTGGAATATGACCAGCTCTACTTGGGATCCCTGGGCGACCCTAATGTTAAGAGCCAGCTTCATGAACAGACTTGGGGTCTCAACCAGGTTGGGGTCCTGAGAGAGGAAGTGGAAAGACTTTGCACTCAGTCTAGAGTGTTTCTCTAGGGATCTAGACACAGGGATGTGTCTCCCCCAGAGCTCAGATACACCTGACCTATGGGGGCTGTCTGAGAAACACCCCGGGAGGCACCCTCCTCTCTTTTTTCTCTAGCCCTCCCAAACCCTTCTCCCTTCAGGGTGCCTGCTCCCTGTCTCCCTGTGGGCTTTTGTCTTGTATGGAACCAGGATGCCCATTTGAAGAGGGGCTGCGGACCAGGAGCCTCTGGACATCTTCATATGCTTGCATGGTTGAGTGTGGGGGTGTGCCCTGACTGTGATTTTAGTCAATTGCTGTCTCAGGGCTCAGCGGCTTACATGTGTGGTATGCAGCCACTCTCAAACCAAAACAGCAATAGGAGGGTGCACAGAGCCCCTGCTGAGAGAGGTCTCTGTCTGAACGCTAGAAACAGACTCCCCAACTATACTACTATGACGAATTGTCTGTCCATCCAAGCCTCCATGGGCACAGAGGCCTCCAGCAGGGAAGCCAGCTCGATATTGGGCACCTCCGTATTTACAAGTCCTTCTAGTGCAGATGCAGGGTGCCACTGAGGCCAGGTGGAAGGGCTGAGAACCACCGGCTTCCTATCCAATGCCCCACCTCCATCATCTGCTTCCTTGATCAGCCACTGTACATTTATCCATTCACTCCAAAAGCGATCACCTCTCTTTCAGTCCAAAACGAAGAGGGTTCTCAGGATGAAAGTCTTGCTTTCAGAGCTGAATTGCCTGTGGAGTTTCCCAGGAAATGTGGGAAAGCCCCAAGCAAAGCCTGGAGGGTTAGTTACCTTATGACTGCTCTTGGCTCCCTGAAACAGTGGCCAGAGGCCACCATTAAATGCCTCTTCTGGTTTCTCTTGTCCCATGGAGGTAGGTAGGAATGCTGGGGTTGCACCCAAGGAGCCTGGAAGGGTTGGGGAGTAGATCAGGGAAGTGACAAAGTTAGTGACTCTAGCTTTGCACATCTTACTTGTCCCCTGCCTCCTTGGGCGGGCAGGCTGTGGGCCTGTGCTCTTTATCGTCCTTATGCTATCTGGGTTGCTGGAGAAGCATCCCCTCCTCACTCCCTCCAGCTCTGTCAGGACTCAGATAAACTGGGCTGCCCCCCCACCCCAGCCCAAGGAAGAAAGGAGCAGGGCTTTGGCCTGGCTCCTCCCCTAACCCTGTGCCTCCACACTCGATGCTGGCCCATCGTTTGCCACCGTTCACCACTGAAGGTGAGGGTAGTGGGTGGGTATACATTCCTGTGCCCACATGGCAGTTGACAAGACAGAGGCCGAGACATGACTGGCTTATGGTCCTCAGGCCAGAGGCATAGAAGGTAGACTCTAGAAGGGACCTCAGTGGGCATACCAGGGGAATTTCATGGAGGCTATGCTCCAAGTCCAGCTGGGGAACCCATAAATGCAAACCCTACTGCTCCTACACCAGCTGCCCAGCTCTGTTTGGAGCCCAAAGCTTTGGGTTCTTCTTGCCCCTGCTCCTGGCACTCAGAACTAGCTGTCTTAGATAGCCACCATGGCCACAGAGATCTCCTTACTGTCCACAGTTCCCAGCCTTGTGTCGTTTCTTCCTGCCTCTGCTTGTCCCTCCTCTGGAAAAGGACACTTGTGGAGGGATCCTGCTAATCCTCTAAGAGGGTATACAACTTCTCCTCCAGGAAGCCAGTCAGGAATGCGCTGGCCTTCTAATGGCCGCCCCCACTCACTCCACACTTCCATCCCTGGGTTTCAGGAAATCTCAGCCATCATAGGCAGCTGGGGCTTCACCATTGTCACTCCTGGTCCTCTTACATAGCCAGCAAGGCACAGGGACAGAGAGATGGGTCAGTGCTTTCTTGCCAAAACCCAGGTCCAGTTCCTAGTACCCACATGATGGTTCACAACCATCTGTATGTAACTCCGGTTCCAGTGTGCCCATCTGACATGGGCACCAACTACATGTATGGTACATGTACATAAATGGAGATAGAACACACATACACATAAGATCTTTTGAAGAAGATCTTTTTAAAAAGTCTTTTTAAGAAGGAAGAAAAAACAGAGGCAGAGATCAGGCTCGGGGTAATAGAAAACGACAGACAGACAGACAGGATTTGGGCTCTGGACCCAGGGTTCAGTCTGAACTTTTAGATAGCAACAGCCTGCCTGGTGGCATCTTTCACTCCTTTTGGGCCTCTCCCTGGGTCATTATGCCCTTTTATTCCCTGTCTTGTCCACATTGCACAAGAGTCCTCTAAGCAGGAACCCCACATAAAGCCTGGCTTCCTGCAGAGGAGCTCCAAGCATCCCCTATCCCACCCCCACCCACACAGCCTCCAGAGCCACAATGGGAGAGGCACGGGGAAGGGCAAAATTCTGTTTCTGTTGATCATTAGCCTGATTTCTTAGGAGTCTCTGGCTTCTTTTTTGCCTCTGTGAACCTGGGTCAGAACTGAGTTTGGGGTGTGATCAGTATCTGAGGGCTTAGCTACAGGAACCCCCAGAGCCCAACCCCCTCCTTAAAGATCAGCTTTATACCCATCTTCTCCATGGAGCCCCATCTGCGTCCCCTCCAAGGCTTGGCTCACCCTTCCCATCTAGGGACATCCTGAGTCCCTAGCTGTGCTGCAGTGTGTGCCCATGGCCCATGTGTACCTGAGTGGGGACTAGCTGGTTTGCAACAGGTGTGTCAGGGGAGTCTTCAATGTGCCTTGGACCACCACGTGTCCCCGTGTGTCACAGCACCTATTAGGAGGCACATAATTTCTGATTCCCATTTATCTCCCAGGCCCCTCTCCTTACTGATTCACCTCTGAAGCTGGCTCTGATCCTCAGTTCACACAGTCCTTCCCATCCTTCCTCCCCACGCCCCCACCCTGCTGACCCTATGGCCCTGACCTGTTGACCTTCCTTACAAACACTGCCTCTCCTCTCTTGTTCTGATTCAGCCCTGGAACCTGGTCATGCCCCCCCTTCCCCCCTCCCCCCGCTGGCAGGAGAGGTTGACTGTTGTTTTTTTCCTTCACATTAACCCTGCAGTCCAGTTTGGGAGCTGGGCAAACAGACTCGTTAATAACCATTTGATTACCCAAACTAAAATCAGCTCCACAGAGCAGGACACCATCTGAATGGAAACAACATCACTAGCTTTCTTCTTTCATCTTTGCGCCTTTTATGACTCTGCCCTCGTTATCTGCCTTCAACTTTGCACCTTTTACAGTGACTGCCTTCTTCTGTAGTTGGTACTGTCTCTAACCAGCTTGCTATCTCAGTCTTCAGTCTAGAAAGTACTTCCTTATATGCTCACATCTCATTCAAATCTCATGACAATCCTTCAAGCTACGAACAAATACATTTCCTCATTGTGAAGATGAAGAAACTGAGGCTTGGGGAAGCTGTGTGACTTGCCCAAAGTCACAAGGCCTGGAAGGAGGAGATAGCAAGCATGGATATCATTCCCAATCACTGACCACCTACAAGAGCCCCTGGGTTAGAAGGAGATCCAAGGTCTCAAAAGGACTTCCTACTGTCTCTGTGCCCTAATTACTATAGAAAGAGCCACACCATGGCCCTAGGACCATGAGTGACTCCCCTCCAGCCAACACCCCCAGCCTAGCCAGGAGAGGCAAAGAAATCTGTGGACATTGTTCCCCAGGCCTGTGGTTACTGATTTGACAACAGCCCTGTCCTCCCCAGCCAGCCAAAGAGTTAATGATTAAAGAGGGGGATTAAATATTAACCACCTGTCGGGCTGTGGCGTAATGTCTCAGTCTGTACCTGAGCCCATCTAAAAATACCTGTCCCTGCTGTGGGCCAGCCCCATACAGGGCCTCTAAGCCCCTGTGCCTGGCCACCTCCTCCCTAGGGGCTCCATCTGAGGCCCTGGGTCTGCCTTTGGTCACCTGGTGCCCTCCCCTCCATACACTCCGTCTGCATTTCTGCTTACACTCTGAAGCTCCATAGCACACTCCATACCACCCCAGGCACTCCTGGTGGGCTTTCTGGAAGGATCAGCTGCTACTTGTTCCTGTGAGGGGAGGGTCAGTGGCTTACATTCCTACGAAGGGCTTTGTTTATCAGCATTCTTATCTCCTCTCAACCCCTCTGATCTCTACATCTCCACATCCCAGGCCCCAGCACCCTGGGCCATAGCAACTGGCCTTGTATTTCACTGAAGAATCACAGAAAAGCTATTCTTGACCTTCTTCTGCAAGTTAGGACCTAAGTGGCCGCCTCCAGGAAGCCCTTCGGATCAACTCAGGGCTTGGGAGCTCTGAAGGTCTCATTCTCCAGATGTAGCAGGAAGCTACATCTATTGGAACAGTCCTCCTTGGGAATTCAACTGAGTGGCCCTGGGACCCTCCACAGGTTATTGGCAAGAACCCCTGAGCCGAAGCCTGTCCATGGGTTGGCTTGCCTGCAGCAGGAACTGCAGGAGAGTGTGCACTTGGTCTTTTTCTTGAAAACAGCCTTATTCAGGTCCTAATGTCACAGGTTAGCTCTTCTGCTCCCCTGGGAACCCTAATGAAAACACGAAGTCTCAGCCACCCTCTCCAGCATCTTGCTGAACTGCCTGCCCTATGCTGCAAACCTAGTCACTCATGTTATAACTCCTTTAAGACTGGCAGACTGAAGCAGGCAGAGCCTGCAGGATTTAGCTAATCTCAAAGAGCCAAGGAGGAGCAGAGGCTGACCTGTCTGACTAGTCATCTGTAGGACGTTTAAAATATGGAAGTTCTGTTTCTCTCATAGCTGCTACAACCAGACTCGACTATTTCTAGGCCCTATTTTCCCAGGCCACTCCTGCATGGAAGAGATGATACCAACTCTCCAGCAATTGTACTGCTGCTGGTCTCAGTGACAAGCGTGTGGTCCCCAGAGAGGCCATATGGAGACCCGGGTGGGTAGTGCAGATGGAGGTCTCAACTTCCTTGGCAGAAAGACTCATGGCTTCCAGACCCTTCATTAACTCCTCGAAGATATTTCTAAAATATCTGGGACTCAGAGATTAAGAGGTTGTACCGTTTCAGAGGATCTGAGTTTGGTTCCCAACACTTGCCTCAGCTCACAGCTGCCTGCAGCTCAGCGGGGACAAGGTTGCACAACACTCTGGCCTCTGTGAAGACACATGCGCGCGCGCGCGCGCGCGCGCGCACGCGCACACACACACACACACACACACACACACACACACACACACACACACGCAATTAGCAAAGACAATAACACATCTTTAAAAGGACCTTTGAGCCAGGTGGTGGTGACCTTTGATCCCAGCACTCAGGAGGCAGAGGCAGGCAGATCTCTGTGAGTTCAAGGCCAGCCTGGTCTACAGTGAATTCTAGGACAACCAGGGCTATACAGAGAAACCCTGTCTTGAAAAACAAAACAAACAAAAACAAAGGACCTTTGGTCTCCTTCCTACAAGAACAACATGGCAGCACAGACTCAACTATGGGGAATTGCCTCAATGGCTCCCCACCCCTTGAGCAGGGATGGAGTTGAAGAAAGGATTGTTTCTAGTTGGCACCGATGGGCCATCCTTTCAGGGTCACAGTCTTCCGTCTCAGACTCAGAGCTACCCCCACACACACACACACACACACTCCCCACTCCACTCTACTCCCAGCTTATCTGGCAGCTTCGAGTTGCTCCTCACCTCACTGCTCTGGCATCCCTGTTGGGGGATATTTGCTTAACCAGGCAAAGATGTGTTACATTTGTTTATGCTGCATTTGTGTTAATTAGATAAAATTAACCTGGGTTAGCAACTAGTTGACTGGAAGCAAGCTGCAAGCAGAGAGGAGCTTAGTGTAGGGTTTTTATTTTTCAGTTGGGGCAGTATGGAAGGGAGTGGCTTCAGGGGCCACCAGCTAAGAGAGAAATTTAGCCAGTTGCTACTCTAACTCTCTGAGCTTGCTGGTTTTCACCCTAGTCTTTGAATTCTTTTTTTTGTTTGCTGTTTTTGTTTTTTGTTTGGTTTGGTTTTTCGAGACAGGGTTTCTCTTGTGTAGCTTTGGAGACTGTCCTGGTACTGGCTCTGTAGGCTTAGGCTGGCCTCGAACTCACAGAGATCCGCCTAGACATCTGCACCCACTAGTCTTTGAATCTTGAGTTTTATTAGAACAATAGAGATTTAGTGAAAGCTGTCTTTAGAGGCAGCAACAGAACCATCGTCTCGGGGAGCAGATTTTCCCTAGGCCTTAGTAGCCTGGCCACTAGCAGCTTAAAGCGCAGCCACTGCAAGGAAGTTAAAATAGCACATCCCGGGACTTCAGTCTCCAGCATCCTACCCACCTTAGCCTTGGCAGTGACCCCAAGGTTTCCCAGAGCTCAGGAAATGTGTGTTTGTCCACTATGAACAGTGTTCCCACCGCAACCCCCACGACTGGTTCAGCATCACTCACTTGCCTCCTCCCCCATCCACTTGCACCAAGTCACAAGTTCAGGAGGCTCAGGCCGAGCAATAACTGAAGGGAGTGTTGGTTTTTTATCAGAGACCGTTCAACTTGGTTTTTGCATACATTTGCACGGGCTTCGTTGAAAGCTCCCCATTTCATTAAAAACAGTGAGAAGTAACAGATGTTGTGGGTCCCTGGGACATGAAGGCATTGGCTGTATAACTGGATCTGGGCTTGAGCTGCAGGACCGGAAATGGACTGGACACTAACTCAGTGGTTCAGCAGGGAGTGAGGGAGAAACAGCAGCTTGGGCCTTTACTGCCTTCTGGTGACAAGGACACTGCTCTGAGAACCTACCTAGTTGCAGGCTACTGCCCACCAGACTAGAAGTATCAGGCATGGGGTTTTCAAAGATCAGAGCATGGTGAGTTCCAGTTCTAGGAGGCTGAGTATAGGAGGCAAAAATTCAGGTAATGGCAGAGCTAGGGAAGAAAGACCCAGGACCTAGAGTACCAGAGTTTGAAGCCTTCTTTCTTTCCTGTCCTCACCAAGTTCCCCACTGTGGGACTCTTGTCTCTCCACAAGGACATTCTGCCTGTGCAGGCTCACAGGGTCCCACACTAACAAAAACGCAGTGGCTGGTTAAGTGCCCTGTTGAGGCCATTCTGAAATGTTTCTTTACTGGGATGCTGAGGAGTTGAACCCAGAGCCTTGCACATGCTAGGCAAGTGATTTACCACTGAGCTACACTCGACTCCCATCCAAAATTGAAAATTAGTGCCTGACACTTCGTATCTGTTTATTGTGCCCTTTAGTTGAATGTTTTAGCTTTCTACACATGGGTTTTTATAAATTACTTGCTAGATTCCTTCCTTCCTTCCTTCCTCCCTCCCTCCCTTCCTTCTTTTCTTCCTGTTTTGAGATAGGGTCTTATTATGAAGCCCTGGCTGTCCTGGAACTTACTCTGTAGACCAGGCTGGCCTTGAACTCTCAGAGATCTGCCCGATTCTGTTTCCCAAGTGCTGGGAGTAAAGGTGTTTTCTAAGTTTCCAATTTGTACACATCATCTCTCCCAGAACTCCTCAGTTATACCTCCCTGTGGTGTCTTCATAGGTGCTTTAAGGAAATATGGCCCTGGGTGGCCAATCTGACAGCCAGCCCATGGTAGAAGTTCCTGCATATCACAAGCCCAGGCTTATGTCACCTGAGACAAAGACACAGAATTGCCAGGGGTGTGGAGAAGAGAAACAGGCTTTCTCAGGAGACAGGGTTTCTGCTGCCAGAATGCCCCAGATCAGAGAGACCAAGTGCTAGCCACGAAGGTCTTCATCACAGGGCAAGCAG